TGTTACTATGATGCAATCAGATTACTTGTAGCATAAATGTGAATATATATTGCAGCTATGTGATTTGGCGCTAAGATACAAGGAATGTGATTTCTCTATTGTAATACGCTATTGCTATGCAGAATAGGTCACTAGCATATCTGCAGAGGTCTAGATATTCAGTATTGCAATTAAAGATGCTTATTAATGTATATGAAAATACTTATTAATGTATATGGAAATATTTAGTAATGTATAGAGGCCAGTGATTACAGTGAACATATCCAGTCACATGTAATTAAGGGTTTTCTGTGTTTGTTACAGCCATTCCTAATAAAACACTTCTGGTTTCACCCGACCCATCCTTCGCACAGTTGAATTATTTACCGTATGTGCAACACTGGCTGCTATGCTGCAGTTCTGACCCTGTCCTCTACATTGCTGACCTTCTGTACCCTGCCCTTCTGACCCTTGTCCTCCATCCTTCTGACTCCTTTACACTGCCCTTCTGCCCACTGTCCTCTGCCCACTGGCCCCTTTTTTCTGCCCAGCTGACCCCTTTTTTTCTGCCCTACTGCCCTCTCTTCTGTCCTGATAACCCCTGTCCTTTGCCCTGCTGACTCCTATCTTCTGCCCTACCAAACCCCTGTATACGGACTCTTGCCAATAGAAGGAGCTAGAGGCTCCGAGCGCATAGCCTGACTTTCCTACGTCTGTGCTCTTCCTCCCCACTGACCCTCTTCCTGTGATGTCACATCCTGCTGGTTACTAGGCTCCTTCCTGCACAAACGCCTTACACTTACACCCTTACACTACTTTACTCCTGTGCGCCAGAGTTACTCGTTTTTGACTCTTGTACACTCCCCTGCTGACCTCAAATCCTCTGCCCTGCTGACCCCTATCCTGTGCCCTACTGAACCCCTGTATACTGCCCTACTAACATTTGTACACTCCCCTGCTGATCTCCCATCCTCTGTCCTGCTGACACCTATTTTGTGCCCTACTGACCACCTGTACACTGCCCTACTCACTCTTGTACACTCCCTTTCTGTTCTCTCATTCTCTGTCCTGTTGACCCCCCTGTACACTGCCTTGATAACCCACTATAACCTGCCCTGCAAACTAATGGCCTCTGTATTGATCTTATGCTACCCTGGCAGCCGGCGCTCCTCTCTACATCCCTACACTCCAGCAGTGAACTGTCCCTGGGTGTCCTCATGCCCAGTGCAGGGCTAAGGACTCTGCACTGGATTTGATGACATCAATGGACCTGTAACCACCAGCAGGAAGGGGGAAGAGGCTACAGAGCTCAGTCTTACAGCTCAGAGAGAGCCTGCAGGAGTGGAGAATCAGATAAGAAAAACTGCTTTTTGCAGACTCCTCAACCTAAATAGGCATTTACAACTTGCAGTGTGAGGGTAGCCCCATTTCAAGGGAGGATTTTTACTTTCTCCTAAGTTCTCCGTTTTAAAGGAAGAGGGAGACACACAGCTGAGTCTGTGGTTTGCTGTCATTTGCAGATTGGCTGTCGACTTACCTACATAAAGTGACCCAAAATGTACATAGTTTATATATGGTCAGTGCAGTGGTTAAATGATTAGCACTTCCGCCTGCAGTACTAGGGTCATTGGTTCGAATCCCAACCACGGCACCACCTGCCTGGAGTTTGCATGTTCTCCCTGTGCCTGCGTGGGTTTTCTCCGGGTACTCTGGTTTCCTTCCACACTCCAAAGACATGCTGGTGGGTTAATTGGCTGCTGTCTAAATTGGCCCTAGATTGGGTATGTATGAATGTGAGTTAGGGACCTTAGATTGTACACCCCTTGAGGGTAAGGGACTGATGTGAATGTACAATATATATGTAAAGTGCTGCGTAAATTGACGGCACTATGTAAGTACCTGTAATAAATAAATATTTATAGCTACAGTACAAACAGCTCGGCCACAAGAAGCTATGGAAAACGCGTTGTTAGTATACTGTTCTTTTTAAATGCTACATAGAAAACCCCATCTATAAACGCATAGGATTATTATGTGGCTGTTTATATAATTTTCCAGCCACTGAACTCTGTAGAGAATTGTAATTAATTGTATCATTAGATATTAATTAAGTAATGTAACATCATCACAGCAACATCTGTTTCTGGACAATCTGTGTAATTAGATTGTATTATCTAATCTTCTGTATCTTTCTAGGTGACTGTAAACCAATAAAACCGTGATAAATTCACCACCTGGAAAGAATTATCAAGTACCACTGAAACAAAAAAAAACAAATTAAGCTACAAAGTAATGGAAGTTGTAGAGTCATAGCTATTAAAGGGGCAGTAAATCTAAATTACAGGATTCAATACAATAGCCAGGTTGTTGTTCAGGAAAACTTGCTTAGGCTAGGTTGCGGGCGTGCAGCTGTTCCCGCACTCACTCGCAACCACCAAAACTAGCTGCTCTTTAACCTCTTGCCGACCGCGCATAGCCGAATGACGGCTTCACCGCGGACGGCCAGTTCCTGGGTGGACGTCATATGACGTCCTCCCAGAACGCGCTCTCTCCTGGGGCGTGCACCCGGCGATCTCCGTGATCGCTGTGTCCTACGGACACAGCTGATCACGTGATGTGGTAAAAGGCCAATCACAGCGGCCTTTTACCACGTGATCAGCGGTGTCCAATGACACGCTGATCACAGGGAAATGCAAGTGCCGGTTCTCGGCTGCACTTTCCTCAGTTGTCAGAGTTGTCAGGGGATCGGCACCGATCATCAGGGCACTGATGATCAGTGCCCTGATGATCGGTGCCCAGCAGTGACACCCGCAAGTTCCGCCCAGGAGTGCGCCCACTAGCTCCGCCCACCCGTGCCCAGCAGTGCCCCCCCACCTGTGCCCAGCAGTGCCCCCACCTGTGCCCAGCAGTGCACCCACCTGTGCCACTCTGCAGTGCCACTCTGCAGTGCCACCTACATGTGCCCAGCAGTGCCACCCACCTGTGCCCACCCACCTGTGTCCACCAGTGCCACCCACCTGTGCCCACCCACCAGTGCTGCCCACCAGTGCTGCCCACCAGTGCAGCCCAGCAGTGCTGCCAGTCAGTGCCACCAGTCAGTGCCCAGGGGTTGTGCCAGTCAGTGCCGCCAGTCAGTGCCCAGCAGTGATGACAGTCAGTGCCGTCTATCAGTACCCATCATCAGTGTCACCTATCAGTGCTGCATATCAGTGCCGCCTATCCGTGACCCCTAATTAGTGCTGTCTATCAGTGCCGCCTATCCGTGCCACCTCATTAGTACTGCCTATCCATGCCCTTTAGTGCTGCCTATCAGTGCCGCCTATCAGTGCCCATCAGTGCTGCCTCATCAACGCACATCAGTGAAGGAGAAAAAATACCTGTTTGAAAAATTTTATAAAAGAAACAAAGAAACTTTTTTTTTTTTTCAAATTTTTTGCAATTTTTTTATTTATAGCGCAAAAAGTAAAGTGCCCAGTGGCGATTAAATACCACCAAAAGAAAGCTCTATTTGTGAGAAAAAAATGATCAAAATTTCATATGGGTACAATGTTGCATGACCCGCGCAATTGTCAATCAAAGTGCGGCAGCGCTGAAAGCTGAAAATTGGCCTGGTAAGGAAGGGGGTATAAGTGCCTGGTAGGCAAGTGGTTAAAAATGCGCGGTGCTGCCATACATCCTTAATGTCACCCCCACGCATCTAAAAAAAAGGCATGTTTGCAGGTGCATGAGCCACAGAGAGATTGCATGGTGCTTTTGCAGGCCACTGCATTTTTGAAATGCTGCAGGAACCTTTTTCCTGCATGAAACGGAGGCACAGCAGCTCAATGAGTATAGGCTGCTGTGCCCACACAAATACAGCCGGCAAACTCGCAATGGTTTGAACCTAACCTTAAAGTGGTAATAAAGTCCGCTTTAGAACTTGTACCTGCAGGTACAGTTGCAAGAAAAAGTATGTGAACCCCTTGGGATTACGTGGAGTTTTGCATGAATTGGGCATAAAATGTGCTCTGAACGTCATCTAAATCACAACAATAGAAGAACACAGTCTGCTGAACATAAATACTACACAAACATTAGATGTTGCCATGGTTTAATTGCACATAACATGTAAACATTCACAGTGCAGGGAGGAAAAAGTATGTGAGGCCCTAGCTTAATGACTTCTCCCAGAGCTAATTGGAGCCAGGAGTGAGCCAACCTTGACTCCAATCAGTGTGATGATATTGGATGTGTTGCTGACAGCTGTCCTGCCCTTAAAAAACACACACCTGTTTTGGGTTTACTGGTTTCAAGAAGCACTGTCTGATGTGAACCATGCCTCGCAGAAAAGAGCTCTCAGAAGACCTACGATCAAGAATTGTTGACTTGCATAAAGCTGGAAAGGGTTACAAAAGTATCTCCAAAAGCCTTGATATTCATGTGTCCACGGTAAAACAGGCTGTCTACAAATGGAGAAAGTTTAGCACTGTTGTTACTCTCCCTAGGCGTGGTCGTCCTGTAAAAATGACTAATAATAATAATATTTACCTGTATGTAATGTGAATATCTCCTAAACTTGCAGTGTTTAGGAGATATTCACACTGCACATGTGCTCTGAAGGGACCGCATACCTGTGCCGTCTTTAACCACTTGCCTACCGGGCACTTTTACTCGCTTCTTGCCCAGGCCACTTTTCAGCTTTCAGCGCTGTTGCATTTTGAATGACGATTGTGTGGTCATGTAACACTATACCCAAACAAAATGTTTATCATTTTTTTGAGACAGATAGAGCTTTCCTTTGGTAGTATTTAATCACCACTGGGATTTTTTATTTTTTTGATAAACAAATTAAAAAAAGACTGATTTTTAAAAAAAAAAATGTTTTTTTTTCTTAGTTCTGTTTTTAAAATTTTGTAAATAAGTAATTTTTCTCTTTCACTGATGTGCACTAATGAGGCTGCAGTGATGGGCACTGATAGGCTGAACTGATGGGCACTGATAGGCAGCACTGATAGGTGGCACTGATGGGCATTGACAGGCATCACTTGTGGGCATTGACAGGCATCACTGATGGGCATTGAAAGGCAGCACTCATATATGGCACTGATAGGCGGCACTGATTGGAACTGTTAGATGGCACTGACGGCCACTGATAGGCGGCACTGACTGGCACTGATAGGCTGCACAGACTGGCACTGATAGGCGGCACTGATAGGCGACACTAACTGGCACTGATAGGTGGCACTGAAAGGCAGCTCTGATGGGCACTGATATGTGGCATTGATGTGCACTGGTAGGCACTGATATGTGGCATTGATGTGCACCGATGGGCACTGGTATGTGGCATTGATGGGCACTTACAGGTGGCATTGATGGGCACTTACAGGTGGCACTGATGGGGCTACACTGATCATCAGGGCACTGATCATTAGTGCCTTGATGATCAGTGTAGATATCCCCTCTGAGGAATGCTGATTACCGGCTCTCCTCTCCTCACACGCTCTCAGTGTGAAGTGAGGACTGCCGATAACAGGCATTTCCTATTTACATGAGATCAGCTGTGATTGGACACAGCTGATCACATGACAGAGCCTACGTCAGTGGCTCTTTACTCTGATCGGTGATCCGCTGTGACACAGCGCACTACTGATCACCTCGCCTCTCACCCCTGGGGGGCGCGCATGCGCAGTTAGAGTGAGAGGACGACATATGAACGAGAGAACCACCGCCCGTTCGTCATTTCCTTATATGGCGAGTGGGAGGCGGTTACAGAGTTCTGTGCCGTAAACCATGACTTCTGTGCGCATGCACAGGAATGACGTCATCACAGCTCAGCCATTCAAAGGACCTGAGGCAGGCAGCGAATTCGGATGGAAGACGGGGAAAGATGTAAGCTCTCTCAGTGGTGACAGTACACCACTGAAGGGCTTAGTTCTAAGGTACGTATTTTATAATGTGCTAGTATGCATACTAGCACATTATGCCATTGCTTTGAAGGGGATTTTTTTTTAAACAGCATACTACCACTTTAAAGCTGAACTTCAGGCAAATGAATATTGTCTAAATACAAAAACCATGAGTATTCCTATCTGGATCATGGTGTACTTCTTGCATTTCTTCCAGATATGTGCAATAATCCAGTATGAGGCTTTGCCTGTGTGCAGGAACGTTCTGTAATAAAGACTGATCTTCTTGTCCACCATCCAACCACCCCCTATAGTTATCTGCAGGCAGCCTGTTCTGGATGGGACTGTTGGGTCCCTCTGAAAACTCTGCTTTCTGCACAGGCTGTGTACAGCCTGTAGATAATGTCTCTGCTACTTTTACAAGGTAAACTTTGGGTTTGCAAAGGCATCAGGTACACACAAAGTGTTTTTTTATATACCGTATTTTCCGGCGTATAAGACGACTGGGTGTATAAGACGACCCCCTACTTTTCCTGTTAAAATATAGGGTTTGAGCTATACTCGTCGTATAAGACTACCCCTCTTCCAACGCACACCAAATAAAAATGAAAAAACATCAGATTTGATTTCAATATGGTATGCTATTTCAGTATGGTATTCCAATGATGGGGTGCTATTCCTCCCACTGACACCAATGATGAGGCACTACTCCTCCACTGACACCAATGATGGGGCACTATTTCATCCACTGACACCAATGATGAAGCACTATTTCATCCATTGACACCAATGATGGGGCACTATTCCTCCTACTGATACCAATGATGGGACACTATTCCTCCCACTGACACCAATGATGGTGCCACATCATTAGTGTCAGTGTGTGAGGAATAGTGCCCCATCATTAGTCAGTGGGAGGAATAGTGCCCCATCATTAGTCAGTGGGAGAAATAGTGCCCCATCATTGGTGTCAGTGGGAAGAATCGTGCCCCATCATTGGTGTCAGTGGGAGGAATAGTGTCCCATCATTGGTGTCAGTGGGAGGAATAGTGCTCCATCATTGGTGTCAGTGGGAGGAATAGTGGCCCATCATTGGTATCAGTGGGGGAGGAATAGCACCCCATCATTGGTATCAGTGGGAGGAATAGCACCCCATCATTGGTGTCAGTGGGAGGAATAGCACCCCATCATTGGTGTCAGTGGGAGGAATAGCACCCCATCATTGGTGTCAGTGGGAGGAATAGTGCCCCATCATTGGTATCAGTGGGGAGAATAGTGCCCCATCATTGGTGTCAGTGGGGAGGAGGAATAGTGCCCATCATTGGTATCAGTGGGGAGAACAGTGCCTCATCGTTGGTGTCAGTGGGGGAGGAACAGTGCCTAATCGTTGGTGTCAGTGGGGGAGGAACAGTGCCTAATCGTTGGTGTCAGTGGGGGAGGAACAGTGCCTCATCGTTGGTGTCAGTCAGGGGGGAGGAACAGTGCCTAATCGTTGGTGTCAGTGGGGGAGGAACAGTGCCTCATTGTTGGTGTCAGTGGAGGAGGAATAGTGCCCCATCGTTAGTGTCAGTGGGGGAGAGAGGAGCGGCTGCTCCTTCTTCCAGTGCAGCCGCTCGATTTTCGCGGGCCGCTCGGCTCCGCCTCCTCGCCGGTGATTGGTCGCCTGTGTGCCTTTCCAGTGCTGGCGCCCAATCACCGGTGAGGAGGCGGACCGAGCGGCCGCGTGACCATCGAGCGGGCCGAACTGAAAGAAGGAGCAGCCGCGCTTCCTGGACCGGATCGTCGTGGGACCGGAGCCAGGTAAGGTACAGCAGCCCTTCTATCCACCCCTGTGCTTAGTGTCCGCTAGAGGAGGGGGGGGGGCGGCGCCGCCCCTCGAAAAAGTGCCGCCCTGACACAGGCTCGCACCGGCGTATAAGACGACCCCCGACTTTTCAGAAGATTTTCAGGGGTTGAAAAGTCGTCTTATACGCCGGAAAATACGGTACTTTGTGGCCATTGATGAATATATATGCAGGGATTTTTTCTGTTTTTGAAAGAGAATAGGTGCAGGTATTCCCGAGTCTCATCTCCCTACGGTCCTCCTAGTACTTCCCTACCTATCTATGTCCCAGGTAAGCATGCATATGAATGGTTTTTTTTTTTACCTGGAGTTCAGCTTTAAAGCGTAAAGTGTCCCTGTACACAAAGCTATTTTTTTTTTTCATTTTGGATAGATCGAGGATTGGTTAAAGCCTGTCGTTTTTATATCTCCCATTGGGGAGATTTTCCCTTTTGCTACCTGAACTGAAAACACAACTAAAAGTGAGAAGATATCTCCCTAAAGCAATTATTGTACAGTTGTCCCCATTAAAGGATTTTCCTTCTCTTCTTGTTGTGGTGGCAACCATAAAAGTTTGTGTTTCCAATCACTTTTTTTTCTGATGATAGTCCCCAGGCCCCAGGACAAATAGAGGGGTAAATTCCCCAATGGAAACTCAGATAGCAATAAAAACATAGATGGCAACAAAATAAATAAATTAAGCAACAGGGCTTTTTAAGCCTACTCTTTCCTACTCCAAAATACTTTGGCTTTATATATACTTTAAAGTAGAACTCTGGACCCAGCCATCCCCCTATCCTTAATCCCCCCCCCTTATTTCTAATTTGTTAAACACCCTATGCATACCTTTTTCCTGCAGTCTTCAGACTGGTCTGGTGATTTCATGTCTCCTTCCTCTTCTTCCTGGTGGTCTTTCTTCCTGTACTGAGCACCACTCCACCATCCCAGAATGCGAGACCATGTCTGGGCTCACAGGGAGTAGATTGAATGAGACAGGTCATCATTTATTCCAGAAGGCCAGAGACATGAACAGGGACGGACTGACCATTTGGAAACTCGGGCACTGCCCGAGGGCCCGGGGTCAGTAGGGGGCCCCATGAGATGCCCCTGGTACCTTTTTCATAGGATTTGTTGAGTTTGGGCAAGGACACAGGGGCCCCATGATCCCCTATTGCCCGGGGGCCCCATGAGTTGTCAGTCTGCCCCAGGACATGAAAAAGAGACAGAGACAGGAGAAGTACTGTACTGATACAAGGTGAGTATAACAGAAAAAGAACCCTTTAAAGTTTTAAACATGTAGCCAGATGCTTAGTCAGCTGAAAAAGAGCGGGGAGAGAGGTACTTAGGCTCCCCCCTTTCCCCGCCCCTGGGCTTTCAGTTCAGAGTGGGCAGTGTGCTTCTGTGCCTGTTCTCTTCCCCCTCTAGCCACTGCACTGTGATAAGAGTGTTTGTGTGTGTTCTCTGCCCTCTCCTACCCCTACCCCTATGCAATGGTGGTGAGCCTATAAGAGTTAAAGAGGCATTATGATGCAACCACTCAGGATTCTGGGAAATGTATTCCTGTGAATGTCTTGTGCTGGGACAGTGAATAGGGATGAGAACTACAAGAGCCGTAAGCACACCTAGTAATGGGAGAAGAGAACAGTTTTCCTAGGCTTGGAGAGAGAGGAACAAGGTTTTGCATGCAGTGAATTTGAGTGGGATAGATCTTTTTCTAGTACCTGTCTGTGCTTACACTGGAGAGAGCTTTTTCATAGAGGAAGTTGTGTCTTGCTGTAAAGAGATTGGAGCTGGACAGACTTCTGCTAGGGTGCAGGAACTCAAAACAAGCCACTGAGGACCAGATTTGCCAAGGACTGAGCCACCAAGGATCAGGTTTCAGAGAACAGAGACAGAAAAGTGTCCAGGACATGGTTTGCTGGGTACTAGGACCGGTGAGCAGTTGCTGCCACGCTTACTACACCACTGTTAGCAGTTTGGTACGATAGGAGACTGCCCATTTGCTTAATAATCCTGCAGCCAATCACTGCATGTAGATTTAAAGGGACAGTAACCAAGTGCACCACTGAACAAATTGGACCCCACTGTTGGCCGACTGAAATTTACAAACCAGGCCCCTAATACTAGGCAATTCCCTCCCAGGGGTACTCCTTTTCTGGTGATATACATACACCTACATTCAGGGGGAAATACAGTGTGCACTCTGGGACACTTTTGATCACTTCAAAAATTACCCACACTCTGCGCTTAATGGAAAAGAAACAAATCCCCCCAAAAATTATAAATAAATAACAATAAGTGATACCAGCAGCAGTATTACAAACCCCCACAAACAAATGTGAAAAAGGCTAATACCAAATTTTCTTTACTGTTTATGCTGTCCATTGTTATAAGGGGTTAACTGTTTATGCTGCTCTTTACAGTGCTGCATACACTAGGGTAGTTTGCTTAGTACCACAGTGATTGACATATAATAGCCTAGTATCCTCATCAGCTAGTTTATTGCATTCAAACTGATTCTTTTATTTGATCATTGTTTCTTTGTACTGCTATTTTTTCGTGGTGAAAATATACTCATTTACTTCACTACTGGTTAGCCCGGTGCCTATTTCCTATATTATAAGACATCCGTGGGTATTATTCTGGTTCAGTGGTTTTTATTAAAAGGTATTTTTCAGAAA